AAGGCAGGATCTAGATACTCCAAAGACAGAGCTCACAGATCACCTAAAGGATCAGGTTATCTCACAGTACCTCAACTCTATGGTATAGAACAGTGGTTGTAAAACCCGTCAGCAGTTCCATATTGTCTAGGAAGCTTTTTAAAACTAGGTTCTCAGGCAGGGGCTGGGGCTCAGTGATAGAGTGCTCGCCTAGCATGCATGAGACACTGAGTTCGATTCTCAACACCACATTAAAATAAAGATATTGTGTCCACTTACAACTAAAAAATAAATATTTTAAATAAATAAATAAATAATAAAACTGAGTTTTCAATCCTTCCACAAATTTCCAGAGGTGGAGTCCAGTATCCATGGTCATAAAATGTCCCAAATGATTCTATCCCAGACAAGTCCATCATCTTTCTAGGGTTTCTCAATCTCAACACTACCAAGGTTGGGATTGGATAATTCTATTGGAGAGAGGGTGTCCTATGCACTGTAGGATGTTTAACAGTAGCCATGGCCTCTACCCTCTAGAAGCACACCAGAGGAGTAACTAAAAATGTCTCCAGATATTCCCAAATGTTTCCTGGGAGGCAAAAATCACCTGTCCAACTACAGGCCAGTTCTCAATTCTTCAATTAGTTAACTGAGGCTAATTAACTGGTTTGGTTTGCTATACTTTACATAAAAGCTTATCTTCTAAACTCAAAAATTTTCTTCCTGTCCTTGCATAAATTACACCAGCAAGATGCTCATCTCTACTTAAGACCCACTCTATCAAAATACACTTCCCCAGTGCAACTAAGCAAATCATATCACAATCAACTACCACTAAGGGAAGAGCAGTTTCAAGTACCAAGAGCACAGGGCAGGCACTAAAATCCCGAGTTTAGATGACTAAACAAGCAGACCTCTTCGTTAAATATTCTAGACTCCCTGACCAGAAGAGATGCAGAATAGCCTCCAGAGCATACACTCAGAACAACAGTTATTTCCTGAACTACAGAACAAATATCCCTCTCCAAAGTGCTTGGGACCAGAAAAGTTTCGGATTTTTTTGTTTTTTTCTGGATTTTGGAGTATTTGCCAGATTTTATGGGTTAAGCATCCCTATTCCAAAAACTGAAACTCCAAAACTTTTTAAGCACCAATAACCCAAAAATGAACAATCAAAAATGCTCTAAAATCCAAAATTTTGAGCCTCAAATCAGTTTCTCAAAGTTTCAGATTTCAGGGCATTTTGGACTTTCACATTAAGGAATGTTCAACCTGTATCTTAGTTGAAATATACATCTCAATACATAGCAGCTTTCAATTATCAACAACAACCAGGAAAATACTATGAAACCCTAAAGTTACTGATATGGGGGCCAATCACACTCAGAAGTACATGAAAAATAGTCCAGTTCTTGATGGCTTGTGTTTAACCACCTCTATAGAAAACATTCTTAAGTGCCACCACTTATTACCCCAGTAAATAAAATTTAATGATTTTTCAACAAGCTGTCTTGTCAAAAAATGGTAACAACTTCTAGTTCATTCCTGCAGTCCAAGTGACCCTTAAACTGCACAGAGCTTTTATTGATTGATTGATTTTGGTGCTGGGGACTGAACCCAGGGCCTTATGCATGCACTCGACCAACTGAGCTATATCCACAGCCTCTACCCAGAGCTTTACAAAGACAGTCACCAAGAATCAGTTCTTAAACACTTACTACATTTAAATTTGGTTTTTAAATGTTTAATAAAAACCACTAACTACTGAACTGATTCTACGTGCTAGATACAGTTCTACTTGCTTTACATGTACTAACTCATTTACATATATATCCAGACACATGTGTAACATGTGCATTTGTTGGAACACACTTATGAAATGGACACATTTTTATTCCCATATTACAGAGGAAGCAGAAAGGTTGAGAAACTTGCCCAAGGTCACAGAGCTACAAAGGCCAAGATTTGAACCAGGCGCTGGAACTCCAGATTGAAAAAGCTCCAAGGCAACACTGACAGCGCATATTGGGCTTGCTACTTAAGGCACATTACTGTGGTTGAAACTCTGGAGTCCCTTTCCCACTCGCTGCCAACCGGCAACATGACCTTGAGGGAAAATCGAAGTAAACTTCACTAAACAAAGTGGGGCAACATCAACAGGGGTGCCGCGAGGACGAAAGGAACTCCCAAGTGCCCCCTCGCGTAAAAGCAAAACAAACAAAGCTGTACCCGTGCCCGCAAAGAACACGTCGAGCACCAGGGACCTGACAGCGAGCCCTGAGGGAGGCCGTCGGGGCCGGGGGCACCCGGGGACTCCTTCCGTCCACCACAGCTCAAAGACCAAGTTCGAGCGAGCGGCGGGCTCCAAGTTTGAATGGGCTTCTTTAAGAGGGAGGTCCTCGGGGCCGCGAGGAGGACCACGCCGCGGGCACCGACTCGCCGGGGCGGCCCGGGGCGGGCCCACCGCGAGCTGCACGTCGGGGCCGGAGCCGCGAGGAGGCCACCCAGACCCCGCGCCAGGCTGCGTGCCGCGCGCTCCCAACCCACGGAAACCCACGGAAACCCACAAAACTTGTTTCCCGGAGGAGAGGGCAACAATGGCCCCGGCGACTCGCCGCCTCGCCCGGACGCGCTCCCCGGAGCGGCGGCCCGGCGCCGGCTGGTAGGAGGCCGGGCGCAGCGGGCCGGGCGGCGGACGACGCCGCAGGCACGGGCCGGAGTCGGTTCCCGGCGCGCCTCGCCCGGCCGGCGCCCAAGGCCGCGCACGTCACCTCGGCGCGAAGTTCGCCGCCCGGCGTCCCGCCCGGGATCCGGCTGACAGGAGCGGCCGAGGCCGTGGGGAAGGGCTCGGCGCCGCGCCTCCCGGGCCCGCGGAGCCGCGAATTCCGGGGGGGAGGGGAAAGGGGCCGGGACGCTCCCTCCCGCGCCGCCCGGCCCGGCCGAGGATCCCCCGCCCGCCCGCGCGGCTCGCGCACCCCGCGCCACGGCCCCCTCCGCCGCCCCCACCCCCATTACCTGGAGGTGCCCACGACCCGCCGCTAGTTGCGCTCAGGCGGGAAAGGCGCTCACCGACACCATCAGCGCAGCGCCCAAAATGGCGGACGTATCAAGCAGGCCTGGAGTTCCCCCCGCCCTCCCTCGGCCGCCTCACAGCCAATCGCGGACCTGACCCCGCCCCCGGGCCCACGCTCATTGGCCTTCTTCTCCCGCCCCCCACAACCTATTGGGTCGCCCAGCGGCTCCCTTGCCTCCACTTTGATTGGGTGAGAGTCCTCGTCAGTCAAGCGCGAGGGTCGCATTCTTTTCCCATGGACTTGACGGATCCGGAACCTCGAGGACCCAGGAGTCTGAGAAACAAATCAGAAATCGGGAGAAGCCTGTCTGAGTGCCCCAACCAACGCCGTAGCAACAGCGGGGTCTCTGCTTGAAGGACGCTTCGGACCACCAATCCGAGTGGCCACTGTCTTTTAAAACTAAATTGAGCCAAACCAATCGTGGCCGTGGAACTCGGGGCGCAGTGGAACCAATGGGGTGACGAGGTGGCAGCAGGCAGGCGGGGCTAGGAGCGCCAGGAGACCGTTGGTGACGTGAGCGACAGTGCGCGCCGGGGCGAAAAGCTCCCGAACTGGGGAATTAGCTCTAGTAGCAGAGCGCTCGCTTAGCATGTTAGAGGGGGTGGGATCAATGCCGGCTTTCTCCGCGGCCGCATTTTACTAGGGGGTCACCTCCCGCGGTCACTGTATCCGAGCAGGTGGCAACCCCGGAAGTGGGCTCTAGATGTGGAGTTGCTGAATGCCTCTAGCTGGGCCCCCCACCTTCACGAGGGAGGGGAGACACACAGAACGGGGCGGGGGGGGGGGTCCCTTTTATTTGGAGGAAGGATTGACACTCGAGTCATCTTCCAGGTTGATGATCTGGCCCGTTTCCCCGCCAGGTTCCCTTTTCAGGTGAGGACCAGGTCCTGGACCTCAGGATCCCTGCCCCCGAACTGCCTGGGGCAAGGAGGATTGCTCACTTTGTACCACTGCAAGTAACCTGCCCTGTTCCTGTGGACTCTCCGCATCCCCCGAAACCCAACTGGCAAAAGCTGGAAGAACCTGGGCAATTGAGTTAGGTGCGCTGGAGCTGCCTGCCAGGGACAGCACTGTCACTCACACCAGAGAGCCCTAGAGGGGGGCTCCCAGGTCCCATGAAACTGCCCCCCACACACACCGCCTAAGAAACAGCAGGTGACAAGAAGGTGAACAATCTGGGGGCCTGGCAGAGAGACCCCGTAGTGGGACTTTGTGTGCAGGAAGTGGGAGATGGAGTGGCAGAAGTGACTGCTGAGTCTTACAGGGCCTGGAAGGACCATGCCACAATGCCAGTCCTCAAGGCTCACACCTCAGACAGGGGTTCCTTGGTGTGGGGTTGGTCAGGGACGACCATTCCAGCACTAGAGGGCTGTCTGAGGAAGTCCATGACCCCTGGGTAATGTGGCAGAGCTTGGCTGCTGGGGGACGGGAAGGGCAGAACCTCCAAGAGTTGAGCACCTGCTGCCTTTACCAAGATCAGCATCTCTCTGCACCCTCGCCCCTGTCCACAAGCCCCAGCTGGCCTGGGCTCCTTCCACCTCACTGACTCAGGCTTTCTGAGCTCTAACATCAAATGGCAGGGGAACTGCCCAGCTTGGGTTGGATCAATCCCAGGGCCTAGGGACTGCTGACATGCCCCACCCTCACCAATCCACTCTTAAGCAGAGCCTGTGGCTGGAGGCAGACTATCTAGAAAGAGTTCATTTGGGGAGCTCCAAACAGTATTATCCCCATTTTACAATTCAGTTAATGGAGGCCCGTAAAGCATTCAGACACCAGGTGCAGCCGTGTTGGCCAGGTGACCTGGGCTAGGTGATATGACCTCTCTGATTCTCCTGGTCTTCTCTGTGAAGTGCAGGTGATAATACCTACTGGGGTCCATGCCCTGAGTGATACTGGGTATCTAGGGAGGCAGCAAACAAAGACAGATATTGTTCACATCAATGCTACTGCTCAGAGAGGCTAGAGGCTTTATTCAAGATCACACAGCTAGTAAGAAACAGTCAAAACTGAGGCAAGTTGATGCAGTTAGGGAGGGGGACATACAGGCAGATGACCTGGGTGGGAGTGGGCATGCCAGGGAAAGCAGGTGGTACAGTGCATTTGGTGGAGGACAAGGTCAGGGTGACCATAGGTCTGGGGAAAGAGAACAGGAAGCAGGTCAGGAGGGATTTACAGAGGTCTTGCAAGTCAAACAAAGAAACCTTGGGGTTAGGCCCAGGCAGTGGGAGCCAGGGAGGGCCCCTGGGCAGAAGAAGTTCTGCCTATTCTTTAGAAACGATAGAGTCAAGCAAGAATAGCAGGTATCACCTGTGATCCCGGTGACTCAGGAGGCTGAGGAGGATCCCAAGTTTTTCAAAGCCAGCCTCAACTTAGTAAAGCCTTAAGCAAGTTAGGGAGACCTTGTCTCAAATATTATAAAGGCTGGGGATGTAACTCAATGGTTAAGTGCCCCTGGATTCAATCCCCAGTACCAAAAAAATTAAAACAATCAGACAAGGTTGAGGGTGTAGTTCAGTGGTAGTGTTTTCCTGGCATGCACGAGGCCCTAGGTTTGAACCCCAACACCGCACAGACACAAAAGAGTTGAGACAGGCTACAGGGAGCCCCGGGCCACAGTTGGTCCCTAAGAGGATGGCTGGCCCCAGGGTAGGAGGGGCAGCTGGGCTGGAATCTGCTATCTGTGCTGTCCATTGAGGGACTCCTGTGTCCATTTCACTCATTCCATCAGCAGAGGATCTGCCAGTGTCTGCTTCAAGCTCCTCCTCAGCTGGGTCACAAAGATGTATGCCCTGTAATTAAATGAGATGACACACTTCACTCATGGTAAGTGACCCCGTACTCACCAATTATGGAGCATTTCTAACCTAGCTGGAAGGACTGCAGTCAGGGAGGGCTTCCTGGGGGAGTATCTGATGTCAGCCCTTCTCTTGTGGCTAATGGGGAGCCACAGACAGGCCTAGAGCGAGGGAATGCTTTGCATTCACACAGATCAACCTCTACACCCTAAAAGTTGTGGAGTATATGGGTCACCACCCTCTCCCTTTCCCTCCCGATCCTTTCGTAGCTTAATTTTTAATGTTTAACTTTTCAGTCCATCCAGACTTTTTAAAAAGTACACATTTTTGATATTTTCAAACATACTCAGAAGTAGAGAGAAGAGTATGATACCCTTGTACCCAGTAGATGAAACTACCTCTAAAACCCTGTGGAGGGACACAGAACTGCCCTATTTTAATTCTATCAAGTAATAATTTTCTTAAATGGTGGTATTCTGTCATTTATTATTTATTTATTTTTATGTGGTGCTGAGGATTGAATCCAGTGCCTCACACACGCTAGGCAAGTGCTCTACCACAGAAGTACCGCCCCAGCCCCTACCAAGTAACCAAAAAATCCCATGATTTCATCAAAGGACATTTTAACTCAGACATACACTCAGTAAAGATGAGCTCTGAATAAAGACTTTAAATTGAGGAAGTTTGATTTGAAGAAAAAGATACTACCTTGTCTTCCCTTTTGTTCTGTTGCCAGGGCCCAGTCGCCCCTGGACTGGCACAGATCCGCCGGCTGGAGTGGGGCCTCCTAGCAGAGGACATGCTCCGGAAGGGCTTGGGCAGTGTCCAGGAGCTGCCGTCCAGCCTGGTGCTGGGTTAGGTCAAGGGCTGCTGAGGCTGGAGGGGAGCCAAGCCCGCCGAGGGGTGGACCCACTTTGGCATGGGAATTGAAACCCTCTGCTTCTCTTTGGTTTTTGTCAGTGCAACAAGTTCAGCCTGGGCTACGGGGAGGCACCCTCCTCCCCACAAAGGATGGCTGAGAGCCAGTGTTGGGAGCAAGGGGAATTCTGGGTGTCTTCCTGGCTGCCAGCTGCCTGCTTCTGCAGGAAGAAAGAGAAGAGGACATTGGGTGGAGAGAGGCAGAGGCTTGGGACTTGGGAGAGCACCAGAGAGGAGCCCGCAGGGGGCTTCAGGGTGGGTCTCTGAGGTGTGGTTCAGTCCAAGGCTGAGAAGAGCCAACTGAGTGCCCCTGAGGAGGAGCCTGAGTGGTACCCAAGCCCGACTCCCAGAGAGGTGACCTGCTTGGCCGTTGAAGTGCCCAAGCCCTGGCCATGAGGATTCTATCCCCTGCCTCCTTGTGGCCCAGGGGTAGAAGCAGGGCGGGCAGGGAGCCCCCACCTCTCATGGGGAGAGGGCTGGAGGGGGCTGAGCTGAGCAGATGGTCCACTCTGACAGGTTGACTGGAAAGGAGCCGATGACACAGGGGAGATCCCACAGGGCCAGGGAGGGGTGATGGGAACTTGGGGAGCGGTGGCTGTCACTGCAGGGGTGAGTGGAGGGAGGGAGGGAGGAGGCCAGATGGCCACATTGAGTAGCTGTTAGTAATGTTTACTGGATAAAGGAACAATTCAGAGAATGAATGAGAATAATCCTAGCTTTGCTTCTGGTTTCCCAAGCCTGTGTTCCCTCAACTATGAATAGGGGACACCATCTAGCTCGCTAGCTGCCTTGAAGTTAAATAAGCCTGGTTAACTTCACCCCTCATTTAAGACACCTCTCAGGAAGCCCTGTCTGTCGGCCATCCTCTGAACACCACGTCCCCGGGGCTCCAGGGTGTCTTTCTCTGAACTGTCCTGACAGCTTTGCAGACTGCCCTGTCACTGGGGCTGAGGGCTGTCAAGGAGGGACCTCACCTGCTTATCTAGGCCTCCCAGCAGGTCAGAGCTCAGTGCAGGACTCTGCCTGCAGGAAGGGCCTGCCGAAGGCTGGCAGATGGACATGGCAGGCGGTGAGCGGACAGTTCCTTCCCTCCCCCAGCTGACTACACGGGTAGGAAAGGAATGGACAGCCTCTGGCCACAGAAGGCACCCCTAGCCATGCAGCGGGTCTGTTGGGGGTACTGGGTAACAACCCAGTGCCAGGGAGGGCAGACAGGGCTGCAGCGTGACTCAGTCTTCAGCCCATGCAGGTGGCCAGGAGTCGGCAGCTCGGGCTGCTCCTCCCTGGCAGGCTTTCAGCCTAGCTGGCTGGCAGAACAACCCAGAGTGCTTCTGGGAGACCCCATGAAGCAGTCCCCTGCTGCTGAGTCAGCAGACACCTCTGCTGGGCTGTTCAGGTTGGAACTTAGGCCTCAATGAGCACCTCAGGGCACCTGGCCCACCCTAGAAGACCAGCAGTCCTGATGTTTAGGGGCCTGAATCCTGCAGGCCACTGGCAGGTGGCAGGAGACTGGACTTAGACCTAGGAACTCTGGTACCCCTTTGGCTCTGCCAGTCCATCACCTGAGTTTTACCAAGGAGCTGCTACCAGCCTCAACTGGGGAGGGAGGCCCAGGCTGTCTCACCGAACCCCTCCTAGAGGAGGAAGCCAGGCAGAGGTGCAGCAGGCCCCCAGGCAGATCCAACCTCTCCTATCTGCAAAGAGACCTTGGGTGTGGGTCCCCACCCTCCAGGCCCAGCTCTGACTCAGAGGCTGCACCATCAGGTCACCCTGCCTCTTACTGCAGGATAACCATCACCTCAGGGGACTCCTGGTAATTGGGGGCAGGGGAACAACTCACCAAAGGTCTGTCCCAGGAAGTCAGGAGCTGGCAGGCTCTTGCTCTGCTGTTGCCCAGCCTCCCCCCTGGAGGGGCAGCCACCCCACACCCGCAGTGTGCCTAGGAGTCCTCATCATGGAGGCCAAGCTGCAGCTGGTCCTGCTCACACCTCCCCTCACTTGGCAGTGTCGCCTTCATCTGCACATCAAGCCCCCTGGGCATAGGTCAAGAGTTCAAGTTCAGGGTCCTGTTGGAGAACTAGGGGACTCACTGGGCCCCTCTCCCGGATCCTGGTGACTGGGCTTTTCAGTGGAGCTGTATCCAGCACTAAGTATGGTCCTTTCCTGACCTCCTGGGTGTTCTGGTTGGGGTCACTCCCTCCCTCATCTCCAGAGTAGGTTGTTCTGCTGGCCCTTGAGCACCGGAACAGCCTCCTCACCTCACTCAGTGGAACTAGATTATTTCTCCACCTCCCTCTATAGACTGGGGACTTCCCAGGGGCAGGGACTGAACCTCACCCCGTTTCCTCTAGCACCAGCCAGATGGGCACACACAGACCTTTCTTTGCTGACTGCCTCTGGGGACAGGGGCTCCCACCTCATACAGGGTAAAGCTGGAAGTTCCCGTCTAGTGGGATCCACAGGGGTGGGGGTCAGTAGGGGCACCCCATCACAGTGAGCAGCCCTGGGCCAGCTCACAAGTCAGAGGGTAGCCAACATGGGCAGGATACAGCCCAAAGTCCCTGTGCAAAATGGAAATATAGCCCTGGCACAGTGGCATACACCTATAATCAAGGTACTCAGAGGCTGAGGCGAGAGGAGTTCAAGGCCAGCCTGGGCAACCCAGTAAAACCCTGTCTCAAAATAAAAATGGCAAGGTATGTAGCTCAGAGCACCAGGCTAGCACGTGTGGAGTCCTGGGTTCCATCCCCAGCACCACAGGAAAGAAAACCAAGGACAGCAAAAGCAGAGCAGATCAGGCTTCCGGACCACAGACCAGTCCACGGAGCCAGCTCCGCCTGTGGCCAGGTGCCTCCAGTCTTTGCCTAAGGCCTCGGACCTTCCCTTGGGGACCTGACAGTGGGACACCCACACACAGGAAGGCAAGCACAACAGCCGTCCACAGGTCAGGGTTTGCTCCAGGGAGACACAACTCAAAACACACAGGGCACAAAAGAATGGCAGTTACATTAAAAAAAAGTTAAGTTTATAAATATTTTCTCCACTGTACAAAGTTTCCCCAGCCCTGCCCACCCCCATCACTGTTCACATTTCTCATGTTTTAAAATCCCAATTATATTTATTTTTTAAATCATAAAATATATTTTTTCTTTGTTCATATTTAAAAATATTTACAGGGGCACAGAGAGGCTGGGGTGGGCCAGCCGAGGTCAGGATGAGTCCGTGCAGGGGGACGGAGGGGGCGGGAAGAGGTGGCAGTAACTCCGCTCGGTGACGGGCGAGGGCGGGCAGCTGTCCTCCGCTGACAGGTACTGGCTATGGGGCGTGGGTGGGGGCGGGTAGGGGTCTGAGTCCGAGTTCAAATCCAGGTAGTACTTGCTGGCCTTCCAGCGGCTGGTGCTGTAGTCGCTGTCACACACGTCCGTGCTGCAGGGTGTCGCTGGGGGCGCCATGCCTCGAATGATGTAGGGCCTAAAGCAGACAGAGAGGAGGAGGCTCGTGCACAGGGCCCTGGCCTTGCTTATCTGTTCGCAAGTGTTGGAAGAGGCAGGCCTGACTCAGGACCCAGCCCAGCTGTGTGGCCTGGGCACATCTCCCACCCTCTCCAACCTACCCACAGTGCTGCGAGTCCAGCCCAGGGAAAGAGCCAGGAACCAGGCCCAGGCGGGGCTGCCTTAACAGGGAAGGCAGGCAGGCAGGCCGCAGAGCCCGCCAGGCTGAGCTTGGGCGGGAACTCAACCTCTCTTCAGTTTCTCACTGATAAACGTGTGTGTGTGTGTGTGTGTGTGTGTGTGTATGTATGTGAGAGAGAGAGAGAGAAACAGCCCTATTTGTTAAGCAGCTTGTGAGGATTAAGTGAGATTGCATGGAAAATGCTAGAAGCAGTGCCCAACAAGCACAAGCACTTCACCACTGCTGGCCATGACCTCACTGTGGTCACTGGTAGAGACCAGTGGCCTGGAACGGTGCATCTTGGGTTAAAGCAGTCCAACCCTGGAGATGTCCCCTGGCCTTCTAGAGGCTGCCTGCATCCAACCGAGGCCCAGGAACCCTGCATCAGGCCACCTGGCCTGAGTGCAGGGCAGGGTCGTGGCTGTTTGAGAGCCCAGTCCGGCTGAGGCTCCCAGGGGCTGGATCACAGAACCAGGGCAGCAGGACCACACACCTCACGGGACCCAAATGCTGCCAAGTCAGACAGTGGCAGATGTCTTAGAGGTGAGGTCCAGAGAAAGGCACAGGGTGGGACAGGAGACTAGGGGACTGGCTTGTCTGGTGTAGTATGACTTCTCTGGGCACAGTAACGGGGGCTGCTGTGACAGTGACAGTCCGAGGCCGGCAGTGGAGGCTGGATGCTCAGCACCAGGGGGCGCTGCAGGTCCTTGAGGACAGAGATGACCCAGTAGAGAGCAGGCAGAAGTGGAAGGGGGCCTTTGCCAAGGCTGCGGTTCCGGGGCCTCCTAGCCCTGCCGGGAAGCCTTTCCAGTCCCTGAGTTCCCAGAAATGGCCACTAGATGGCAGGCAGTGGAACCTCAGAAGGCCCTGCTGTTCCAGGACCAGGACATTGAGGACACATGGCCAGAGGTGTGCCGGAGCCCTGGTCTCTACATTGGCCTGGGCCCATCCCACCTGCCCTAACAGGTGGCTCCTCTGGGGGTGAGGCCGGGTGTCCAGGAGGATGGGCCCTGTTGGCCGTAACCACAGGGTTAAAGGTCAGGGCTTACCCCTTTCTACACAGGCTCTGACTGGACTCTGCAGACAGCAGCTGAGACCCACATCCTCTTGCCACTCTCAGTGGCCCCTCTGCACCCAGAGGGGTGGCCTACAACCTTCAGTAGGCAGCTTGGGGGTCAGGTCCGCCTGAGCCTGTCCCAGGTGGACAGGCATAAGGAGCAAGGGTCGTTCTAACAGAGGTCCATGCTACAGGCCCCTGCCAGGGACACGCTACCTGCTTGCACACATGTATTTGTCCTTCAAAGGATGGAGACACCAGGAGGTAGCATCATGGTCAGGGTCCCATAACCAGGTTCAGTCAGACCCCAGAACCCAAATCCTGGCCCCCTGTGCATGAGCCACCCTGCAGTGACAGCAGGTGGGGTGGAACAGCCCTGGTGGCACCCTCAAGCCCACCACTCCTGGACCCTGTCCTGGCTTACTGAGTTCCCCCTGGGGTGCTCGGAACCTGTCCAGGGCCACTGGTTTCTGAACTTAGCAGGCAGGCCCCACTGGCCTCGTGTTGGGAAGCAGCCTGGGGTAGCCAGGAGAGCCAGGGCAGCTGGGCTGGGCCCAAGGTGCCTCTTGCTATGAGACGGGGCTGGCAGAGGACGCCCACCTGTATGGCCTGGCAGTGGCCGGAATGTTTGAGGAGTAGAACAC